ACAAACTCTTCTAAGATTTTTAAAGCTTATTAAAAATATACCTTTTAAGAGTGAAAAAGAAAGCCACAGAACGTGAGAAGAAATTTGCAATACATATGATTGATATGGAACTTATATTAGTCAGAGTCTATTTGGAAGAGAGAAACCACACCAATCATTTGAACAGGGAGAAATAAATATAAGGAATTGTTCGCTAAGTACGAAGTTGTTAAGTTCAGAAGAAAAAAATAACTCTAAAATATCCTAAAGGTAAAGGTAGCACCTGCAGGAAGCGACTACCACTACCCCTAGGGATAAGGAACAAAGGGAAGAGGTTGGAATGATGAGAACCTAGATGCTTAGAGGAGGGACCCCATGGAGCTGCCAGAAGTGTCCAAACCAGAGTGACTCCATCTTGAATGAGAGGAAAATACAGTGAGACCTGCTGGGTCACATTCCCAGGAGGTGAAGCACTCTTATGGCTGAGGGAACAAGTTAATGATGCTTACTAACTAAACAGACCCAGTACTTCAGGAAACGCCGATGTCCCGATATCTTTTTTTTTTTTTTTTTTTTTTTGAGACAGAGTCTGGCTCTATCGCCCAGGCTAGAGTGCAGTGGCCGGATCTCAGCTCACTGCAAGCTCCGCCTCCCGGGTTCACACCATTCTCCTGCCTCAGCCTCCCGAGTAGCTGGGACTACAGGCGCCCGCCACCTCGCCTGGCTAGTTTTTTGTATTTTTTAGTAGAGACGGGGTTTCACTGTGTTAGCCAGGATGGTCTCGATCTCCTGACCTCGTGATCCGCCCGTCTCGGCCTCCCAAAGTGCTGGGATTACAGAATTGAGCCACTGTGCCCGGTCCCGATATCTTAAGAACAAAAACTTTCTTAATTTAAGAATAGGTTTCGACTGGGTGTGGTGGCTCAGACCTATAATCCCAGCACTTTGGGAGGCCAAGGCGTGTGCATCACCTGAATCCAGGAGGTTGAGACCAGCTTGGGTAACATGGTGCCATCTCTACCAAAAACCAAAATTAGCCAGGTGTTGTGGCACACACCTGTGGTCCCAGCTACTCAGGAGGCTGAGGTGGGCGGATCATTGAGCCTGGGAGTTTGAGGCTGCAGTGAGCCATGATCACGCCAGTGCACTCCAGCTTGGGGGAGGGGAGCAAGACCCCATCTTTTTTTTTTTTTTTTTTTGAGATGGAGTCTCGCTCTGTCACCCAGGCTGGAGTGCAGTGGCCGGATCTCAGCTCACTGCAAGCTCCGCCTCCCAGGTTCACGCCATTCTCCGGCCTCAGCCTCCCGAGTAGCTGGGACTACAGGCGCCCGCCACCTCGCCCGGCTAGTTTTTTGTATTTCTTAATAGAGACGGGGTTTCACCGTGTTAGCCAGGATGGTCTCGATCTCCTGACCTCGTGATCCGCCCGTCTCGGCCTCCCAAAGTGCTGGGATTACAGGCTTGAGCCACTGCGCCCGGCCTGACCCCATCTTAAAAAAAAAAAAAAGGAATAGCTAGATCCAAACATACATGCACTTAACAGGTAAGGGAATCTACGGAGCTGTTACAAACCTTGTTCCTGCAACCAGTCCCGAGACCATAGCATATCACAGTCCTGAGGCCACAGTGTATTATGCAGTGGGCATTGCCAGGGTTCCTGCACCAGCCAGCAGCATCTCGGCTGCTGAGGGTTCTTTAGCCAGCAGGCTGACTTACGCCTTCATTCCCCAGGGGCATGAACCTGTGATTACCCTGCCCTTTATATGTTTGTGTTCAGTTGCTGTAGCTTTCTACTGGCCTCTACTGTTGGGTAGAAATGCTAAAACACACGTCAGAAAATCCCCTGGGCTCCCGCATATCCTGAGCCTCAGTGTGGAGCCGCGACTCACTTTGAACTTGGCATTAGGCATCAATCATCCCAGCTGGTAAAGACACATACTTCTTGGTTTTGTTTTGTTTTTGAGACAGGGTCTTGCTTTGTTGCCCAGGCTGGAGTACAGTGGTTCAATCACAACTCACTGCTGCTTCCACCTCCTGGGCTCAGATGATCCTCCTGCCTCAGCCTCCCTAGTAGCTGGGACTGCAGGCGTGCACCACCATACCCAGCAATTTTTTATTTAATTTTGTTTTTGTAGTGACAGGGTTTGTCCATGTTGCCCAGGTTGGTCTCGAACTCCTGGACTCAAGCAATCTTCCTGCCCTGGCCTCCCAAAGTGTTGGGATTATAGGCGTGAGCCACCGTGCCTGGCCCTGCTTATTGGTGTTTTGATGCAGTGGAATGAGGACACCAAGTTGCCAGGTGGTAGTGTCATTTTCCAAATCAGAGGAACCATCCTTGAATTCCTCGGTGGAGGAAAAGAGGCTGATGGTATCTGCAGAGGGGGCAGCTATGGAAATCTGAGCCCCTCTGAAGCGAACTGGCCTCAGAGACACTGGCCCGGCACAGCAGTCCCCACAGCCATCCATCTGGTACTTGGTCCCAGAACTGCCAGACACCTTGATCCCAATCCATTCCTTTCCAAATCCTGAACCATCCAGCCAGACATTTGCAACTGCTCAAGAGTCAGTGTGGATGCATGCAGGCAATACTATCCAGGGATTAGGAAGAAGTGAAGGGCTGGAACACACCAGTGAACCTGAGAACAGTGTACACAAAGTACACAGATTGTATGACTCTGTTTCCGTGAACTGTCTGGAGCAGGCACATTCGGAGAGACAGGCAGTGGATTTGCGGTTGCCAGAGGCTGGGGTTGGGTGGGGTGGGGGAGAATGGACAGTCATGGCTAATAGGAACGGGGTTTCTTTTAGACAGATGAAAATCTGCTAAACTTCGATTGGGTGATGGTTGCACAGGTCTGTGAATATACTAGGAAGCTTTGGATTATACAGTTTAAATAAGTGAATCTTGGCCGGGCGCGGTGGCTCACGCCTGTAATCCCAGCACTTTGGGAGGCCGAGGCGGGCGGATCACAAGGTCAGGAGATCGAGACCATCCTGGCTAACACGGTGAAACCCCGTCTCTACTAAAAATGCAAAAAATTAGCCGGGCGAGGCGGCGGGCGCCTGTAGTCCCAGCTACTCGGGAGGCTGAGGCAGGAGAATGGCGTGAACCCGGGAGGCGGAGCTTGCAGTGAGCCGAGATCGCGCCACTGCACTCCAGCCTGGGCGACTAAGCGAGACTCTGTCTCAAAAAAAAAAAAAAAAAAAAAAAAAAAAAAAGTGAATCTTATGGTATGTGAATTATATCTCAATAAGGCAGTTTTTGGTTTGTTGTTTTGTTTTTGTTTTTGCTTTTGAGTTTCCTTTATGTTGCCCAGGTTGGAGTGCAATGGCACAATCTCGGCTCACTGCAGCCTCCACCTGCCAGATTCAAGCAATTCTCCTGCTTCGGCCTCCTGAGTAGCTGGGATTACAGGCACGTGCCAGTACGCCCAGCAAATTTGCTGGCCAGGCTGGTCTTGAACTCCTGACCTCAGGTGACCCACCCACCTCGGCTTCCCAAAGTGCTGGGATTACAGGCGTGAGCCACCGCGCCCGGCCAATAAAGCAGTTTTTAAAAAGTTAATCGTGACTTGCTCAAGGCTCTCAGCAAAAATTGTGGAGCAAGGAACTCCCAATTCTGCCCCTTCATAAAGGCACATTTAAAAATGCGCAAAAATCGTCAGAGTAAAATTTTTTTGGCAGCTCAGGAAATTCACAGGAATGACTGTTCCACCTGAGGAACAGTGATTCAGAAAGAATGGCTGATGGTCATTAGGAACAGTGAACTTGATGGCTTTTTCATTGATCCCAGTCACTTACCCCACTTCCTACAAAGATTTTGAGAGAATTGGACTAGGATCAACACAGCCAGGTTGGCCCCAATGGGATAGAGAAGGTACGGAATGAAAAGAGACCTTTTCCCTCCAAGCTTCTAAGGCAGGGGATGAGGTTAGGCTCAACAACAAACACAACACAGCCCTCCGATACCACTCGACGCCCAACACAGACGCCATGTTGTGCAGGACACCGTGTCACTGTTACAGGAAGGAAAAATAATTCATGCCAAGAGCCATGAGGAATCATTCCTGGAGCCTGCATGAAGGAAGTGGCAAAGTGCCCCGCTGGCTTTGAGAAAAGATGGACTTGAGGGGCTGCTGTGCGCTCCCCTGGGCCTGTATTCCCACTGTTCGAACTGGAGGGTCTACAGCAGCCTGTCCTGTGTCCACTGGGTGTGTAGTCACTGGGTGTGGGGCAGACAGTCGGCCTCTTAGTCTTCGGTCCGCAATGGAGAGGAACTGTAACTGGTAAACTGCACTGAGGCCTCTCATTTGCACCTGGACCTCATTACGTCACCAGAGCAGGAGGCCGTGATAGATGCGGCTTTGCGGGGAGCAGTGAGTGTATTCTGCATGTGCAAGGAATATAAACAATTCATGGCTAGAGGATGGACTGCTTTGGATTTAGACACGCCAAATGCCTTGACACTTCTCTCGTCAAAACTGCAGCCTAAGCCAAGGGCGGTATTGCACACCTGTAGTCCTGGCTACTCAGGAGGCTGAGGCAGGAGGACCACCTGGAGGTCAAGGCCTGGGAGTCAAGTTTTCAGGGAGCTATGATGACACCACCGTACTCCAGCCTGGGGGACAGAGTGAGACCCTATCTCCAAACAAATACAAAACAGGCTGGGTGTGGTGGCTTGGGAGGTCGAGGTGGGTGGATCACTGAGGTCAGGAGTTTGAGACCAGCCTGGCCAACACGGTGAAACCCCGTCTCTACTAAAATTACAAAAATTAGCCGGGTGTGGTGGCGGGCGCCTGTAATCCCAGCTACTCAGGAGGCTGAGGTAGGAGGATTGCTTGAACCTGGGAGGCAGAGGTTGCAGTGAGCTGAGATCGCACCACTGCACTCCAGCCTGGGCAACAGAGCGAGACTCTATCTCAAAAAAAAAAAAAAAAAAAAAAAAATTGTAGCCTAAGCCTTCTCCTCTTGAATGTGTGCTATTCGGAGTGACTCCTTTCTTTTTTTCTTTTCTTTTTTAGGGGACAGGGTCTCGTTCTGTCGCCCAAGCTGGAGTGCAGTGGTGCAATCACAGCTCACTGCAGTCTTAACCTCCTCAGCTCAAGTGAGCCTCAGCCTCCCAAAGTGCTTGGGTAACAGGTGTGCACCCCTGCGTCTGGCCCTTTCGTGAGTCCTTTCTAAGAAGTAGTATGTGGCAACAGCAGCACCGTCTGGTTTCTGTGGCTGGGTGGTGGCCTCCATCCAGCTGTCTTGGCCTCGGGACGCTTGCAGGGGCTTCTCCTGGACTGGCTTGTGTTCCCTGTTGCTCTCCAGACTCCATGGCTCCTGCCCATTTCCAAGCCTGGGCTTGTGAGCTTCCTAGAGATACCATGAGCTACTGATATTCTTTCCTCATCTGTTCGTAGGGGGTTGGATCCTTTGACTCGCAGGTAAGAGCTCCGTGTTGGCTTTCTGGGGCTACGTAACAAATGTCGGCCGGGCGCGGTGGCTCAAGCCTGTAATCCCAGCACTTTGGGAGGCCGAGACGGGCGGATCACGAGGTCAAGAGATCGAGACCATCCTGGCTAACACAGTGAAACCCCATCTCTACTAAAAAATACAAAAAACTAGCTGGGCAAGGTGGCGGGCGCCTGTAATCCCAGCTACTCGGGAGGCTGAGGCAGGAGAATGGCATAAACCCAGGAGGCGGAGCTTGCAGTGAGCTGAGATCCAGCCACTGCACCCCAGCCTGGGCGACAGAGCCAGACTCCGTCTCAAAAAAAAAAAAAAATGTCACAAACTTGGTGACTTCCAGTGACATATTTATTCTCCCATTCTGGCAGTCAAAAGCTTGGAATTAAGGGGTTGGCAGGGCTCCCCCGACTCCAGAGGCTCTGGGGGTATTTTGTTCCGTGCCTCTCTCTTGGCTTCAGGAGGCTGCCAGCAATGTTTGGCCTTCCTTGGCATCACTCCAGTCTCTGCCTCTGTGGTCACTGAGCATCCCTCTCTTCTGTCTGTCTCTCCTCTGTTTATCTCTAACAAGGACACATCATTGGATTTAGGGCCTACTCAGATAATCAGGGATGATATACTTAGTTAGTTACATCTGCAAGGACCCTTTATCTAAACAAGGTCACACGAACAGGTTTCAGGGATGTGATGTGGACGTATATTTTGGGAGTCCACCATTCAACCCACCGCAAACCCTAATGCAGAAATTGGTGCAGAAAAAAATGGGGAGAATCTGGGATTGTCTATCTGGCCAGGCTGTGGCAAAAAGCAATGAAGATACTGCTTGTCTCAGGGAATGGGACAAAGGGTGGTCTCCTGGGGTCCCCTGGGAGGAGGAGCCCAGTGAAAGTCTCTGGGGTTCCAGATGGCGCCCCAAAAAGAATTCAATGGCTATGTCTATGGTGTGGGATACTTTTGAAACAGCTCTTCAAGAATGAGAATAAGTCCAGATGCCATGGCTCATGCCTGTAATCCCAGCATTTTGGGAAGCCATGGTGAGCATATGGCTTGAGCCCAGAAGTTCAAGACCAGCCTGGGAACATGGCAAAACCCTGTCTCTACAAAATCCAAGTACCAAAACCAAAAACAAAACCTAAAAAAATAGCTGAGTGTGCCGGTAGTCCCAACTACTAGGGAGGCTGAGGTAGGAGGATTGCTTGAGCCCAGGAGGCCAAGGCTGCAGTGAGTTGTGATCATGCCACTGCACTCCAGCCTGGGCAACAGAGTGAGTCCCTGTCTTAAAAAAAAAAAAAAAAAAAAAAAAAAGAGCCCGGGCGCAGTGACTCACGCCTGTAATCCCAGCACTTTGGGAGGCTGAGGCAGGAGAATCACTTGAACCCAGGAGGCAGAAGTTGCAGTGAGCTGAGATCCTGCTACTGCACTCCAGCCTGGGCAACAGAGCAAGACTCTGTCTCAAAAAAAAAAAAAGAAAGAAAGAAAAAGAAAAAGAAAGAAAAGAAAAGCTATGATTCCTAAATTTTAGTTTAGAGAACAGACCAATAGCCCAAGGTGCTGTCTGCCTGAAGCTGACCTGTGGCACTGCATCTAGGAAGGGGCCTCGGGCAGCTTCCAGCAAGGGGCCCAGGCCAGCCTCTAACAGGCTCAGAGGTTTCTTTTTTTTTCTCTTTTCTTTTCTTTTTTTTTTTTGAGACAGAGTCTCCCTCTATCGCCTAGGCTAGAGTGCAGTGGTCCATCTTGGCTCACTGCAACTTCTGCCTCCCAGGTTCAAGCGATTCTCCTGCCTCAGTCTCCCAGGTAGCTGGGACTACAGGCGGGCACCACCACGCCCAGGTATTTTTTTTTTTTTTTTGTAGTTTTAGTAGAGACGGGGTTTCACCATGTTGGCCAGGCTGGTCTCAAACTCCTGACCTCAGGTGATCTGCCCGCCTGGCTTCCCAAAGTGTTGGGATTACAGGTGTGAGCCCCTACACTGGCCCAGGCCCAGAGGTTTCAGAGGGGTCGTAAGGAGTATGACTTTCAGGTGTGTTGCCTTAGGTGTCCCTGACCTGAGTCTGTGGCCACACTGGGTCCCAGTCAGGGTCCTGCTGTTGACCAAGAAGACTTGCTAAGCTTGTGCATCTGCTCTTCTCTGGAGCTCCTCAGCTCGGGCTGGGCCGGATCTCAGCTTTTTCTCCCTGGCAGCCACCAGAGCTGAAAGCTTTTTTTTTTTTTTTTTTTTTTTGAGACGGAGTCTTGCTCTGTGGCCCAGGCTGGAGTGCCCTGGCCGGATCTCAGCTCACTGCAAGCTCCGCCTCCCAGGTTCACGCCATTCTCCCGCCTCAGCCTCCCGAGTAGCTGGGACTACAGGCGCCCGCCACTTCGCCTGGCTAGTTTTTTGTATTTTTTACTGGAGACGGGGTTTCACCGTGTTAGCCAGGATGGTCTCGATCTCCTGACCTCGTGATCCACCCGTCTCGGCCTCCCAAAGTGCTGGGATTACAGGCGTGAGCCACCGCGCCCGGCCTGAAAGCCTCTTTACAGAAGCTGCCAAAGAGGTCCTCTGGCTTTCCTGCCTCCCCGGAAAGGCTGATGAATGGCCCTCAGCTGCTCGCTGGCTTTCCTCAGTGCATTCAGGGCTCCCTGCAACAGCCATCCACGGCCACTCGTCTAAGGATGAACCCCCACTGCTCGAAAGTCTGAGGCGTCGCACCCGCCAGTATGTTCCCTCCCATGGGCATCTCATCCCAGCTCTCCACTGGGGAAGGTTTTAATGATTGCTCCCTTGTGCTAGGGACTCTCAGTGCCCACCTGCCCTCGGCAATGGGGTTCCTTAAGGTGATCCAGCCCGTAATAGCATGCAGGGGTCAGCGTCCTTGGGTTCCTCCAGGCACCAAGTGGTGGGAGGAGAGGGGAGGGGGCAGGACGCCACTGGCTCTTGGGGCATAGCAGGGTCCATTCCACCTGGAGAAAAGGCGGTGGGGCCACGAAGCCAGCAGTTGCCTCCTGGGGCGCGGCTGACAGCGCGGCTTGACCCTCTCGGGCCACGGTAGCAGGAGGGCGGGGACACAGTTGGGCGTGGGTATGTGGGGATGGCGGCCATTGACAAAGGCCTGTTCCAAGCACAGTAACAGCATCAGTGATCAGCACCTGGGTACAAAGCTGGCCGGGTTCATGACGCTCTGGGATGCCGAGGCGGACAGATCATGACAACCGTGACCTGTGTTTTGGCTCTGCAGGGACAGAAAAGGGAAACCGTGGGTGGGGGGAGGAAAAATAATAACGCAGTGCCTGGTGCGACTCAAGTTAAATGTTCCGCAGGAGGACACGCCTGTCTTGGTGCATGTGCCTGTCGCCGTGGGACGGCCCCATGTCCAGGTGGCAGTGGCGAGGGTGTGAGCAGAGGTCTCAGAGTGGCCACCTCCAAGCTCACGTCTGAGGCAGCCGGGCCTGGGAGGAGCCAGGCCAGCTGGGCCGCACTCTGGGCCAAAGGTTCCTGGCGACAGACACAGAGGGAAACTGTCCAGGCTGCAGATGACATGCAGGGGCTGAACATCCACCTCCCCATTGCCCGCCCTCTTCGTGGCAGGGGCGCTGAGACCCTGGGCGGCCCCACCGGTGTTTGAGAGAAGTGGGTCCACCCTCTGCCGAGTAAGCCCGTGGGAGCTTGGACCATTCAGGGAAATGGAGATGGCTATGGGAGGGACTTCCTAGCGTCATGGCAGGCGAGCATGGAGCTCCGAACTAGGACCCTGGAGGCGACTGTATGGGCCCTGAGCCGGGATTGGGTCAGCTGTCCTCAGCGCTGGGCATGCAGCCATCTCAGGGCCCTGGGTACCTGCTGTGCCCATTTCACCCAGAGGCCAGAGGTTTGACTGGCCTGCCCAGGACCTCAGAGTGACTGGGTGGAGCCCCCACTTGGGGAAGCCCCCAGCTCTCCTACAGTCAGCCCCTAGCATGTGTGAGAGGCTGGGGAGGCCAGACCTTGGGGTTCTTCTCAAGGGGTTTCCAGTCTCAGGAGGCAATTCCTACCGGCCCCTCCCATCCTGGATGTGCCACAGCCACCACTGGGGTCTGAGATCAACATCTCCAGGCTGAGCCCACCCCGGGCCTCACAGAAGCTGCAATTGGACCTTCAAATTCTTCCACAGGATGCAGCCAAGAAATTCACCTTGGCCCCAGCAGCAAAACTCACTCCTTTGGAGCCAGGCTAAGCCTGGGGACCCTGGGAGGACACTTGCCTTGGGGACCTCTGCCAGGTTCAGCACAATTGCCACACACCATCAGCATGAAGCTCGGGGTGTGCAGTGGGATAGGAGGGGGCTCAGGGCATCTGCAGGTGTCTAACTCTGCTCAGAAACAACACAGCACCCTCTAGGACCCCTGGGACCTCCCTAGCAGACAAGAGGCCAGGGCGGCAGCCTCTGTTTCTCAGACACATCTGACACCTCCCTCCTGACACTGTGACAATCCTAGACTGACTCTGCATCTCCCCAGGCCTTGCACAGGGTGGATGGATGGATAAATGTACAGATGGATGGATGGATGGATGGATGGATGGATGGATGGATGTACAGATGGATGGTGGATGGATGGATGGGTAGATGGATAGACACATGGGTGGATGGGTAGATGGGTGGATAAATGGGTGGATGAATGGATGGATGATGGATGGATGAGTGGATGGGTAGGGGGTGGATGGATAGATGGAGGGCTGGGTGGATGGATGGGTGGGAGGATGGAATGATAGATGGGTAGAGGGATGGATGGATGGGTGGATGGATGGGTGGATGGGTAGATGGATGGGTAGGTGGATGGATGGATGGATGGGAGAATGAACTCATTCTGGTTGAACTCCCACCAGTTGTGCTCAGAAACAACACAGCGCCCTCCGGGACCTCTGAGACCTCCCCAGGAGGCAAGAGGCCACGGTGGCAGCCTCTGTGGCCCAGAGACATGCTAGACCCTGTTCTGGGTGCTGGGAAGACACAAAGGAGGTAAACCCACAGGCCAAGCCCACAGGAGACCACCCCACACCCAGGTAGACATTGCAGGACCTCTAAGCAAGGTACAGAGAGCACTGGGGAGGCCAGGAGATGGTCCCTGAGGGAAAAGATGGCTGAGCTGTGTTTTAGGAGACACATACATTTCCTGGGGGACCAGCCTCCCATGGGCCCACTGCTGGGCAAAGCCAGACACAGCTGGGTGTGAAGAGAATTTCAAGAGCAAGAGAAGTGTAGGATTTGGGGTGGGTCTAGAGAGTGGCATAAATTAGAGAGGGCTGTGAGGGGTGCAGAGGGCCTGGAGAATCATGACCAGGAGGCTGGATGTGCTCAGGGGGCAGGGGGACCCAAGATTGTTGTTTTGTTTTGAAATATAGCAAGCAGCTTTATTGAAATATAATTCGCATACTGTACAATCCACCTATACAATTCAGTGTACAATTCAGCGGTTCTTAGTATATTCACAGAGTTGTGCAGCCATCGCCACCATCAATTTTATAACATTTTCATCACTCCCCAACCCTTGTACCCATGAGCAGTTACTCCCCATCTCCACCTCCTGGCAGCCCCTCCCACCCCCTAGCCCCTCACAATCTACTTTCTGTCTCTCTGGATTTGCCTGTTCTGGACATTTCATAGAAATGGAATCATACAACGTGTAGCCTTTGTGTCTGGCTTCTTTCACTGAACACAAAATTTCGAGTGCATCCATGTTGTAGCATGGATCAGAAAACTTCATTCGTTTTTAAGGCTGAGTAACATTCCATCATATGTTTATCTATGTTTTGTTTTTTGTTTGCTTTCTTTTCACTCTTGTTGCCAGGCTGGAGTACAGTGGTGCGATCTCGGCTCACTGCAACCTCTGCCTCCCAGGTTCAAGCAATTCTCCTGCCTCAGCCTCCCAAGTAGCTAGGATTACAGGTGACTGCCACCACGCCTGGCTAATGATTATTGTTTTGTTTGTGTGTGTGTGTGTGTATTTTTAGTACAGATGGGGTTTCACCATGTTGGCCAGGCTGGTCTTGAACTCCTGACCTCAGGTGATCCACCCGCTTCGGCCTCCCAAAGTGCTGGGATTATAGGCGTGAGCCACTGCGCCCGGCCTCTTGTTTTGTTTTGTTGGACTTTTGGGTTGTTTCAGCATTTTGGCTGTTTTGAACAATGCTGCTATAAATACAGGTGTGCAAGGTTTTATGTAGACACAAAGGTGGGCTTTGAGCAGCAGGGGACATGATCAGATTTAAAGGGGTCATTCTTCCTGCAGGTGGGGATGGGGGTCAGATGGAGAAAAGAGCCCAGAAAGGCTTGGCCAATCCTTGGGGAAGTATCACCCCACACTTTCTCCCCAGTTCCCAGCATACACGCGTGCACGTGCACATGTATGTGTGTACATCTGAGCAGCCTCCAAGGCCTGCTTTTGTTGAGTCTCCCAGAGACAGGCAAAGCTGGCCCAGGTCTGAGCTGATGGAGGAGAAGAGTCTCTTGAGTAGAGATCCTTGAGTTCTTGTATTGACATAGGGGTCAGCCTCAGTGCAGAACTGTTTACATCCCTGCTCTCCCAGAACCCCCATGGCCACGGGTGGGGCAGATTGCAATATGGCCACTCATGGGAGAGGAGACAGAAGGTCACGCTGGTGTGGGCAGAGCCAGGCTTCAGGCAGGCAGACCTAAGCCCAAGTTCAAGACATCAGTGGCCACCAGGCATGTGTGGCTTCTGAGCTCTTGCAATGAGGCTTGTCTGACTGAGGAACTGAACCTTTATCTAATTTGTTTTTTGTTTTTTCAGACAGGGTCTTGCTCTGTCTCCCAGGTGAAAGTGCAGTGATATAAACATTGCTTGCTGCAGCCTCGACCTCCTGGGCTCAAACGATCCTCCCCCCTCAGCCTCCTGAGTAGCTGGGACCACAGGTGTGTGCCACCATGCTTGGCTAATTTAAAACAAAAAAATTGTAGAAATGGGGTCTCACTGTGTTGCCCATGCTGGGCTCAAACTCCTGGCCTCAAGCAATCCTGCCTCAGCCTCCCAAAGTGCTGAGATTACAGGTGTGAGCCACTATGCCTGGCCTATAATTTTAATTAATTTAAAAATTGATACTCAATTCCATTTTTGGCAAACTTCTAAGTTTATCTGAAACAATTCGGGTATGCAAATCTACTTTTTCAGCTGTGAATTCTGTGAAACCTAAATACATATCAAATGGATCTGATGAAAATTTAGGGTTCAAACTGAAATATGCTATCAGAGCAAACCACATGCTGGATTTTGAAACTTGGTGAGAAAAAAGAAGGTCAAACGTCTCTCTAATAAATTTCTACATTGATTACGTATTGAAATGATAATATTTCAAATATACTGGGTCAAATACAGTGTATTACTAAAGTTGATTCCACTTACAATGAATTATTTGTCAGCCATGAATAGGAATGAAGTCCTTCCTGGTGCACGTTCGTGGTGAATGGGAAAGTTGGCATCGAGCTGGAGGGAAGAAGCCAGGCACAAAAGGCCACACGTTGGCTGATTTCACTGAGATGAATTGTCCCGAATAGGCAAATCCATAGAGACAGGAAGCAACTTAGTGGTTGCCATGGCTGAGGGTGGGCAGGGTTGAGGAGGGCAGCTAAGGGATACGGGGTCTCTTTTGGGGGTGGCAGAAATGGCCCAGAGTTGGATTACGTGAACTGTGGTCTGGCAGGGGTGCTGTCTAGCAGGGTAGGGGTGGCCATGTCTCCTTGGCAGTGTCCTTACTGCCCCTCAGGAGGTGCTGTGGCTAGAGGACAGCTGGAGGGGCCCAGGACAGGGTGGCATTGAACTCCATTAAGGGCATGGGCAGGCTCAAAGCCCGGTGTCCCTTGGGCGTGTCTTCCTAACACCAGGGTGTGCTGCCTCCCTTTCAATAAGAGCCAAAGCTTCCAGAGTTCGGCAGGCTGAGCCTGCCAAGGAACACACTGGGGAGGCTCCCCAGCCTCCCCCTCGCATCGCATAACTCATAACCCATGCCCATAACTCACAGCCGGTCATGTGGGGCTTGGCTCATCCTCCTAGCTGGACTGGGCCTCGCCTTCCTCTCTAGCATTGGGTTGGCCGGCTGGGCTGTGATGAGAGGGCTCCGGCAGAGATCCCAAGTCCACCCAACACGCTGCCCAGCCTCCAGCCTACACGTGCATGAAGTCCATTCACGTTCACGGAGGGAAGACTGTTCTACCCTTCCTTAAAGCCTTGATTAGGTGACCCTGAACTCATGAGCTCAAAGACTCAAGGCAGTGCTCACCGAAAACTTCCCCTGGTCTCCTAAATAGTCACTAGAAGGTGTCCAAACAATGGCCATTTGGCAGTAAGATTTCAGAGATTTCAGGTTAGGGTACGTTCCATGGATTATGGTATTTGACTTAATTTTGAAAGTTGAACAAGAAGTAAAAAAATCTATATTTTGCCCTTTCAAACAAAATCTAAAAGCCCCCACCCAATAATTCAGTCAGGCATACTCTGACTCGATGGTGGGCCAGATGGTCTTTTTCTACACCTATAATTTCCCAGGAAATTGTGACAGCTGAATTTGCATGATGTAGCTACAAATGGAATTTGCACAATGTGTGCATTCATGTGGTTTGGACATGAGAATAATTCCTTTATCCCGTGGTCTTGGGAAGAGTCAAAACATTCACTTGCCCTTCCTCATGAACAAAGCCAGTGCTCAGTCAGTATTCTCTATATGGAGGATGGAAGGATGGGTGGAGGGATGTGAGAGGGACACAGAGGCACGAACACAGGGATGAGTGGAGGGATGGATGGGGGAGGGGTGGAGGGATGAATTTAATGGATGGAGGGATGAATAGAGAGATGGATGGGTGAATGGATGGAGGGATGGCTGGAGGAATGGATGGCTGGAAGAATGGGTGGAGGGATAGATGGAGGAAGGGATGAATGGAGGGGTGGGTTGAGGGACGGATGGGAGAGTAATGGATGGAGGGATGGGTTGAGGGATGGGAGAAAGATAGAGGGATATAGGAGGGATGGGTGGAAGAATTAATGGAAGGATGGGTGGAGGGATGGATGGAGGGAGGGATAGATGGAGGGAAGAGTGGAGGAATGGGTTGGTGGAAGGGTGGAGGGATGGGTGGAAGGATGAGTAGAGGGATGGATGGAGGGAGGGATGGATGGAGGGAGGGATAGGTGGAAGAATGGATGGAAGGATGGGTTGAGGGATAGATGGGGAGGGATGGAAGGATGTAGGAGAGATGGGTGGAGGGATTGGTGGAGGGAGAGATGGATGGAGGGAGGGATGGATGGAGGGAGGAATGGATAGAGGGAGGGATGGGTGGAGGGATGTGGGATGGATGGAGGGAGGGATGGGCAGAGGGATGTGGGATTGATGGAAGGATGGATGGAGGGATGGGCGGAGGAATGTGGGAGGGATGGATGGAGGAATGGGTGGAAGAATGTGGGAGGGATGGATGGAAGGAGAGATGGATGGAGGGATGAGTGGGGGAATGTGGCATGGATGGAAGGATGGGTTGAGAGATGGATGAATGGAAGAGTGGATAACAAGATATGGGATGGATGGAGGGACAGGTGGAGGGGTGATGGACAGACTCCAACCTTGGGTGGAGCTCCTTTGAAGAAGCTTCAATCTATCCCTGGGATGCTGGCTGTGGAACAAGGGTCCCCTGAGTCTTGGACCTTTTGATGAAAAGTACTGAGACTGCAGCAGGTTTGGTGTTTTGTTGGGGAAAACTGGACTGAGAAAGTGCCCAGTCTGGCTGCATGGTGGTTCTCTGGGGAGGCCGGTATGGAAAGAAACAGTCTTGAGTGAGAGGTAAACTCTCAAGCGCTTCCACTGTGGCATGTAACACGCTAAGGGACACGTATTCCTGTTCAGTCCAGACCCTGGGGCTGCCCAGCGAATGAGGACACCAATTTGATGAGGGCAGCTCTGCAGAAACCCCGGAGGGGGGCGCGGGGCCGGTTGTGGACTCAGATTGTCTTGTGCCACTGCCATTGAAATCATTATTTATCAGCAGAAAACAAAAGCAAACCTCAGCTAGAGGCATGGGAGAAGGTGGACCTGAGTTCGAATGTGAACTCTGCCAGTTGCATAACCTTGGCCGAGTCACTCAAGCTATGTGAGCCGACCTCATCTGTAGCACAGTAGGATGACAGTCCTCACCTCCTAGGGTGTGGCTGGTCCTGGCTCAGGGCCTGGGTACAGGGAGGACGTGCTGAGTGGTAGGTGGAGCATCACTCATGGTGTGAGTGACTGTCTGGGCAGAGAAGCCAGAGGAGAAGCCCAGCCACACGGCCCACACAAGGGCGGCCACCTGTTTACCCACTCATTCCTCCAAAGGTCTCCTCTCTGGGACCCCGAGGATCCAAGAGTCACCAGGATTCCAGGACCTCCAGGATGTGTGGAGACACTTCCAGCTGCCCTTCCCTCCTTTAA